GATCAAGTCTTTTCCATGCGCATGATTGCGGAGAAGTTTTTAGCCAAAAACCAGAAAGTTTTTTGTGCGTTCATGGACTTGGAAAAGGCTTATGACAGAGTGGACAGGAATGTGTTATGGCAAACACTGAACTCATATGGGTTGAGCTCTGGTTTGATACAGGCATTAAGGTCTCTTTATAGGGACTCTAGTGCTTGTGTCAGGATCAGTGGGGTCTACTCGGACTGGTTTGGCATCCAAAAAGGTGTCAGACAGGGCTGTGTAGCTTCCCCTTGGCTGTTCAACCTATTTATGGACAGGTATTTGCAAACTTTGAAAGATGAAGAATGTGGGTTAAGAATGGGCGAGTTAACCGTCAAATGCCTTTTGTATGCCGATGATCAAGTCATATTTGCGTCATCGGCGGCTGAGTTGCAAATGATGGTTACATTAATGAACTGGGAATTAAAAGAAAGGGGAATGAAAGTAAACGCAAGTAAGACGAAAGTGATGGTTTTTGAAAGAGAAGAAAGCAAAACGGTATGTGAAATAAGAATAGAAGGAGAGTTAATTGAGCAAGTGGATGAGTTTGTGTATTTGGGATGTGTATTTAGCAGGGATGGTAGATATGATAGGGATATAGAACGACGAGTAAATGCAGGGAATAGAGTGAATGGGGCACTACACTCTATTATGAAGAACCAGAATGTGTCAAAAAAGGCACGTATGGTAATTCATAATGCTGTGTTAGTCCCTACTTTAATGTATGGTAGTGAAAGCTGGGTGTGGCAGAAAAAGCACGAAAGTAGAATAAATGCTGTAGAAATGCGGTCTTTAAGGAGTATTTTTTTTATTGAATCTGAATGACAGGATGAGAAATTGCATGAAAAGAGATAAATGTGGTATGCAAGATGATGTTGTGACCAGGATTAAGAAAGGAATGCTTCGGTGGTTTGGTCATGTAGAAAGAATGAATGAGGAAAGAGTGACAAAGCAAATTTATATGGCAGATGTGAACGGCGGAGTCGGTAAGGGACGCCCTAGAAAAAAGTTTATCGACCAAATTGGTGATTTTTTGAAAAGGGGCCACGTTAGAAGTACCCTTAACCGACGAGCATGTATGCGTAGATATATGGATGTAAAGGAGGCGAAAGAGGTATGTCAGGATCGTGCCAAATGGAAGTCCGTAGTCTCTGCCTACCCCTCTGGGTGACAGGCGTGAGTGTTTATGTATGTATGTATATGTCCTTCGGGATGTCACTCATGTAGATTGTGAAGAGGAGTGGAGAGAGAATGGAGCCATAACGGTCTCCAGCCCTGAGGGGCCGTTTGGAGGAGCGGGTTGCCTCTATACGAAATCGGAAATGGCGGTTGGCAAAGAAGGCTCTGATGATGTGAGTGAGCCTATCAGGCACTTCTAGTTTAAAAAGCTTGTAAAGCAATCCGTCGTCCCAGACTTAGTCAAACGCTTTGGTGACTTCAAAGAAGGGGGCACCGGAGTTACGGGTTCGATTAATACTCTTTGAGTGGGTGAAGCCTTCTAGGATATATTCCGTAAGGCGGTGAATCTGGTTTGTGCAAAAGTGTCGGGTCTGAAACCGAACTGCTTGTCAGGAAAGCTTGTTGGTCCTTACCAAGGCGTGTTTAAGAAGGCGATTCTAAATTATACGCTCGTGGATTTTGCCCAGTGTGCTGAGGAGACTGATGGGTCTGTAACTAGAGGCTAGGTTGCGCGTTTTCCCTCGTTTCGGGATTTCTATGACGTTCGCTTCTTTCCATGCGTCCGGGGAGGGGCAGCTGAAGAGAAGAGCGTTGCAAATTCCTAATAAGAAGCAGAAAAGTGGCGCTGAGATTGATTAGCACCCTGTTGCTAATGCCGACGTGCCGCGTGCTAATTTTTTTGAGGTTTTTGATGGTTTCTGCGACTTCCACTTTCACTTTCCGGACAGAAGGCAGTTTGGGATGGCTCGATATCCTACAGCAGATTATCCTACTTATCCTGTCTAAATTCTGCAATGCGCTGTTTTACCTCGTTTTGGAGGTTGCGCAGACTAAATTTATTATCTATTGTTCGGTAGTGATCATATTTTCTAAGGGCCGCGTTCTTTGCTCTGATCAGTTGGCGAATGTCACTCGGAAACTTCACGTGTCGATTGCTCGACACGCGTACCTCTGGGGAGCATTCTTCGACTGCTGAGGTGAGGTGCGCTGATAGGGTGTTATTTGCCTTATTGATTTCCTCTGGCAAGTCTGTTTTGCCGGAATTCGTGTCTAAGTGCTGGGAGGTCGTAGACTCGAGTTCAACCTCGAGCTCACGCCAGTCCACGATGGCTTTGATCTCACCCAGGACCTCACCCAGGGGCTGACCCAGCTGGAAAAGGACTAGACTATAATCCGAGTTAAGCTCTAAAATTGTCTCTATGATTGTTATTGACAATCGGACACTTTGAGTAACGCTGTGTCAAGGATTTCCGGTCGGTGAATGGTAGTAAATGGCTAATGGTTTGAATTCCCAAGCGCGATAACATCGAAGTTTAGTCGATCCATAAGCTCGGACAATGCATTACCATTTAGATTGTTTGTAAGCGAGTTCCAGGCGGAATGCTTACTATTGAGGTCTCCAGCTATTATAACACTGGGACCGAGTTATTTAATCAAAGATAGATTTAGACTGGTATTCAGAGACATTCCTTTTCACAGCATCTACTTAAATTTAGATAGACCATGTGCTCACTTTTCCCCTAATTTGTATAAAAATAGTTAAAAAATGAAGTAAAATGGTTTTTAAAAACTATAAATTTCTTATATTGAGTATTATTATACTTCTAGTATTATATAATTCGTAACAGCTACTACAGTTAGCAATTTTAGGTTGTGGTGTAGTTGCAGTGTTGAGAAATCGCGCCATTATTCTAGTAGTAATATAATTGAAACAATTATATTGAGAATAATGAATTGTTTTTTTTTACAGTTTAGTAAAAATATATATATATATATATATATATATATATATATATATATATATATATATATATAAGGCCGTATATGAACTTGATAAAATGATTTGACACATACTAAAACGGGTACTACACTGAGCCTCTCAAACTGTAGAGAGACGATGACTGACACACATACCAAGAATTTGACAGTTAAAATAACCCCTCATTCGATCAGCTGTCGTAAATTATGGTTTCTAGAAAAATTGTTAGTTAGTAAAAAGAATTTTAATGAATAATATCCTAAGTAAACATTTACTTAACAAATTATGAGGGTTCTTAAAAAATTTTCTTTACTTTAAAGATGTTAATAATTAAATAGCTAAGATCCGCGTAATAAAGTACAACCGCGTTGCTGGGTGGTTATCACCGCCGGGGCTAGCCACCCCTTGTTAGGGCGGCTGTTATAGAACTCATCCACGTACACAATACACTGTCATAGGAGTCATCGTTACGCAAGTAACAATGCGGAATGTTAAATTTAATTTATACTATTATTATTAATTTATAAATTATAGCTGAGTCCTACGGAGCTGTAAGAGTTGCATAGGCAAACTGCACCAACGTCATCAAAACCAGTCGGAATTGTTTTCAAGAGTAAGCATACAGGTAAGACATGCAGAAAGTCGATGGGTGCAGATGGTTCAGGAACGTGTTTTGTGGAATTCCTTGGGTGAGGCCAATGTTCAGCAGTGGATTAAGAAAGGGCTGTAATGGTGAGAATTGGCCAAACAACATAAATGTAATTGTTAAATTTATCAAATTATTCTTTTTTATATAATAAGGGTGTTAATGGTAAATGGATGCTTTGGTATATAGATAGTTATACGTTATTATTGATATTGACTGCCTCATTGGTCTAGTGCTTGAAGTAGTGCGTGCGAATTCCGGGTCTGGCCAAAAAAATCAATTATTGAGTTTTTCTGTGAAGAAAAAAAAAGGTTCTTAAAAAGTTTTCTGTATTTTAAAGATGTTAATAATTAACTAGCTAAGATCCGCGAATTAAAGTAAAATGATGTTTCTTATCTAGTTTGAACAGTCTCCCTCAATAGCGTAGTGCACGCCATTGAGGGAGACCCATCATCACTACACTAGAAAAGATACACTACCGTCGATAGTAATATCTTCCTATCCTGTAATGTTAGTGACAAGTTTGGTAGAATAAATAAATAAATAAATACGACACTGAGCGGGTAGGCACCGCAGAGTCTACTTTATCTGAGGATGCCTGGTTTAAAGACGAAAGGAGTATCGAATTCTACTCATCATACTAAGTAAGATACAATATTTTAATTTATCACGCGGATATTAGCTAATTTAAAACATATTTAACATAATGGGTTTCCGCAAAGTAACGCCTGATTCTAGTAAATATTCTGTATCTTCTTTATCAGCAGTATTCTGGGAGGATTTGAATTAGCTTGACGCTCGTCGGGCGTATTGAGGACCGAAGCTTAGTTTTAGTTTAGTTAAGTTTTTTTTTAAATATTACCCTCAAACAAGGATTTTCTCTTGCAGTTGTTCGCAGTCAATGGTTTAGTTCCATACCGACGTTTACATTGTTGTTTGACATTCATTTTGTTTCTTAATGTTTGGTGTTTCTCTATTTGTTTATTTTTGAGTTCATTATGTTTATTTTGCATTTATTTAAAGTTTTACGCGTTTATTTAAACTGTCTTTACTTCACTAGATGAATCGTCTATGGTTTCGTTTATAGAATAAAGATCGGTACGTATTTGCTAAATAACCATACTTTATAACTTTTTACTCACCTGCGATCGACTCTTCTGGTAATATTTTGACATACAGTCCCTGGCCAAATTATTAGACGCACTGCAAGATTTCATGTAAAATATTGATTACCGAGTGATATTGTACCGTTTTATTATTTTAAATTGATTTGTTTTTTATTTTTATATTATCCAATCAATTACCTATTTATTTGACATAAATAAAACAGCATTAATTTAGAAAAGAGTAAGTTTATTAAATTTTAAAGAAAAGTGAAATTAATGCTAGTAAAAGTCAATATTTAGTTGAGCCACCTTTAGCCGCTATCAAAGCTTTAATTCTGCGCGGCATGCTATCAATGCAAGACTGTACTGTCTCCTGCATTTGAGGATGATGATTCCACACATAAATAATCTTTTCTAGGAGCTGGGTTTTGTTGGTAATCACATCTTTAGCCACTTCTCTTTTCATCAGCTCCCACACATTTTCAATGGGGTTCATATCAGGGCTATTACCGGGCCAATCCAACAGAGGGATATTTTTTTCTGCCAAAAAAGCTTTAACAGACCGAGCAGTGTGGCAGGGAGCTCCATCTTGCATGAAAGTGAATGGTTCCCCATTTGGAAACCATTCTCTGAGCTGCGGAATCAACCGATTTTCCAGTACTTCTTTATACTGATCTTGCCTCATTATTCCTTTGACGACGTACAGACGTCCAGTGCCCTTGCCGCTGATGGCTGACCAAATCATCACTTTGGTGGGATATTTAACCGTCGGGACGACACAATCAGGATGAAACTTTTCTCCATGACGACGACGCACATACTGAGCTTTATTTTGTAAAATTTCGAATGTGCTTTCGTCACTGAAGCAGACCTGTCAAAAATAGGAAAAAATATATAAACTTCCATGTTTATTTGCTTTATTTAACTGAAAATGATAACAATGTATCAATTTTTGATTAAATTGCTGTATCTTACCGATCTCCAGAAGTCCACATCTTTGTCTTGCCATTGTTTGGCCCACTTCAGGCGCTTTGCTTTCATTGCAGCTGTTAACTTGGGCTTCCTGGCGGGGCGATAAGCCTTGAAATCTAATTCTTTCAATTTTCTTCGAACAGTGCGCTCAGAAGCATTTACGCTAGCATCCTGGAGTTGTGATTTTATTACCTTTGTGGTAGCAAATCTGTTTTGTAGACAAATTTTCTTCAAACATCTCTCTGACCGTGGAGTGAAAATTGGTTTTCTACCGCATCTTTTCTTTCTTTTCGGGCTTAATTCCTCCCCTGACTCAATTTTCTTTTTTATGCGTCGTACACTACATTCAGAAACCTTCAATCTTCGTGATATTTCTCGGTTTGTAAACGTTTTCGCAATCACAAGGGCCTTCACTTCAGCTTTTTTTACGTGGTGAAAGATCGCATTTTCTACCCATAATGAAAATAATCCAATTACTTTTTTAAAACACTGCATACAAAATAAACTAATAACTGAGTAGTATAAAACTGTTAAACAAACAATCACTGTCCATAAAGCCACAAAAACACGTTCGTACCTGATTCGATTCCGATCGCGACTGATACAGATTTGTACTTGTTTACGTTCATGTATCACTTTGTCAACACAGTGTTGCCATATGTTAAAAATAAATACAAATATGTAGTCTACAACAATTCTTTTAAATAAAAATCAATAATATTGTAGTTTAAATATACCATTATTGCATAAAAACTCTTAAGAAACATAAAATTACTAAAAAAATACAGTGCGTCTAATAATTTGGCCAGGGACTGTAGGTAGAATGAGATATTGGTCTCAGCATCGCTTCAAGACATTTAAAAATGTTATGTATTCCTCGTTCTTAGTCTTCGGATCTTCTTATCGTATAGAATCTGTAACATTAGTTCTATTGAATATGTAATATTTGCATAAATATAAGAAATCATTGTGTGAACCAGGATGGACTGGAAATAGCATATAAAATCACTAGATTAGTCAGTTCCAGAACAGATAAGACAGAACCATCAGTCATATATAATATTCCACTATAAGATGCAGGAGTTTACAAGCTTGATAGTGAATATAGTCTCTCTTACATAGGACAAACACAAAGATCGAACCCGATGGAACCCGAAAACAAAACCCGCGTGAAAGAACATAATTATCACTGATGTGAAGCACAGACACTCCGGGAAGTCTGCAGTATGTCAACATGGTCATAATCATCATCATTACAGCCTTTCCCAAGTCCACTACTGAACATAGGCCTCCCCCCAAGTAACGCCACAAAGCACGGTCCTGAGCCACCTGCATCCATCGACTTCCGGCATGTCTTACCAGGTCGTCACTCCATCTAGTGGGGGGGTCGCCCTACACTACGCCTAACGGTACGAGGCTGCCACTCGAGAACCTTTCTTCCCCATCGGTTATCGGTTCTTCGAGCTATATGGCCGGCCCATTGCCACTTCAGCTTACTAATCCGTTGGGCTATGTCGGTCACTCTGGTTTTACTACGGATATCCTCATTTCTGAGTCTATCACGCAGAGAAACTCCGAGCATAGCCCTCTGCATAGCTCGCTAAGCGACCTTGAGCGTCCTCATGCAGCCAGCAGTGAAGGACCACGTCTCTGATCCGTAAGTCATCACTGGCAACAAGCACTGGTTGTGTACAATCTAGTTTTCAGAGATTGAGGTATACTGACGGGAAGATGTGTCGTAATTTCCCGAACGCTGCCCAGCCGAGTTGAATCCGTCGATTGACCTCTCGGTCAAAGTTGGACTTACCTAGTCGGACTATTTGTCCCAGGTAAACGTACTCGTCAACAACTTCGAGTATAGTGCTCCCAACAACTACCGACATAGGTGAGACATGGACATTAAACATGATCTTTCTTTTGTCCATGTTCATCTTAAGACCTATCCGTTGGGAGACACCATTGAGGTCATTGAGCATAGTGCTAAGGGCCTCCAGCGATTCTGCCATAAGGACTATATAGTCGGCAAATCGAAGGTGAGTGATGTACTCGCCATTGATGTTAATACCGTATCCTTTCCAGTCCAGTAGCTTGAAAACATCTTCCAATGCAGCGGTGAAGAGTTTCGGGGATATATCACCCATCACCCTTCTTGATCACCTTTCATCACCTTTCTCCTTGTCTTACACCTCTCTGCAGTTGGATAGGTTTCTAGCTCTGATTCTGTACTCGGATAGCCATCGTAGCCCTACTGTATAAACACTTCAGCACTTCGATATACCGACAGTCAACTTGGCACCGCTGAAGGGACTGTAGCACCGCCCAAATTTCGATGGAATCAAAGGCTTTCTCATAGTCCACATACGCCAGGCAAAGTGGCAGATTGTACTCTTCGGTCTTCTGTACAATCTGCCGCAGGGTATGTATATGGTCTATGGTACTGAAGCCTTTTCGGAAACCGGCTTGTTCGGGAGGCTGGAAGTCGTCGAGTCTGCGTGCGAGACGATTCGTAATGACTCTCGAAAACAGCACGTAGACGCGGCTCAGAAGTGAAATCGGTCTGTAGTTCTTCAAGAGAGCGTTGTTGCCCTTCTTAAAGAACAAGACCACCGCACTTCTGCTCCACGCCTCCGGAGTAGTACCACTATGGAAGACGAAATTAAAGAGTCTCTGAAGGACTTCAAATACCCGCTTTCCACCCGCTTTCAGAAGCTCCGCTGTAAATCCATCGCTGCCGTTTTTAAGGTGCTGGAGAGCCATTCTAATCTCGCTTAGACGACATGTTCAGGATCGCCCCAATCATTATATCAGATTTGAAAGACCACAAATCTTCAAAAGAACACCGATTCCCACCAAGAAATATAAAATTTATTGTAATCTATCGAAATTAAAAAAAAACTTTCTAATACATACATAAACACTCACGCCTGTCACCCAGAGGGGTAGGCAGAGACTACGGACTTCCATTTGGCACGATCCTGATATACCTCTTTCGCTTCCTTTACATCCATATATCTACGCATACATGCTCGTCGGTTAAGGGTACTTCTAACGTGGCCCATTTTCAAAATATCGCCAATTTGGTCGATAAACTTTTATTCTAGGGCGTCCCTTCCCGATTCTGCCGTTCACATCTGCCATATAAATTTGCTTTGTCACTCTTTCCTCATTCATTCTTTCTACATGACCAAATCTTTCTACATGACAAAACTTTCTAATATCAATAGAGAAGATAGCTGGGTGCTACCATCTGCCTGGGATCCCATAATTAATAAAATTATTTCCAAACCCAAGCGTACTATTGCAAGACTTCAAGATACTGTAAGCCCGTTCAAGGTAGATTGGACCAAAACTTAATTTTTAAAAGTTGAAGCTAGCTTTCATTATTATGGACGTCAAAAACCTCAGTCTTTTCCGTGGCCTTGGGCGCTGGAAAGTGTCCGAAACGTTAGAAATTATAAAAAAAATAAAATTAAACGCGAAAAAAACCCTTAAAATTATTTGTACTTCATGTGTAATATTTGCATCAATAGAAATCATTAAAACAGATTTATTAATTTTCAATTGAAAATTATCTCCTTTCCTTAAATTGCACAACGTAAGATTTTTTTATTTGTCTTGAAGCGCAAAACAACCTGCAGGAATGTTGCAATGTGATTTTATGTGCTGTACACGATTTTAATATAAAATTATGTTTTGTAGCCGCAGAAAATGAAATCAGGTCGTCACTCAAAATATTGCATTAAATATTACTAAGCATTCCGTACTCAATAAGGAAAAAAGGCTCTTTTTCTTAGAGACAAGTATCAAGTTGTAATTAGTATCCCATCTAAATCATAAATGTGAAATGAGAGCCAAGTTCAATATTATGATAACATATGCCTTGGTTTTTGACTTCAACGACAAAAGAAGTGAGATCTAAATGGGTACCAAGTTCAATGGTCAGCCCTGAAATTTATTTATAATAAAAAAAAAATAAAAAAAAGCCTTTTTATTCCATGCTAAATAAGTTTTACAATATAACTTTTTTGCAATGTAATTTGCATTTTACAAAGAAAATATAAATTATGATTTTTTTTTTAGATTTTAATACATTAATTTATTTCTATATTATTGAATGAATTTGATTGAGTTAATTAATGTCGTAATTTTGAGTATGATAAATATTATTTTCATAATATTTGGTTAATATTTGGTTTGTTTAAATAGGTATGCATTATATTAGTAACATTAATACTTTCAATCAATACTTCACTTAAAATTTATAAATCAATGTTTATAAATTTTAAGTAATTTTTTGAAATGGATTTGTTTTTTTTATGAAATTAAGAATAGGATATATTTAATTTACATTAGTTGCAAATTGACAAATATTTTTTTATTAATAATTTATATAAATATACCCATTTGTGTTTGTTTACTTTGCATGGACCCCCCTTAGGTGAAGGCCTCCTCCAAAGATTTCCATTAGTCTCTGTTTTTTCGACAATTTAAGGTGTCTTCCTTTGGAGGATGGTGGTCATAATCTTCCACGGTGACCAGCCGGGTTGGAAGATATCTAATATTGCTTAATTGGACTTGTTATTTTATAAAATCTGTAGTAGAGAGGGGTGCTAGTTGCTTTGTATTTTTATCTTTGTTGTCATATTTGACTTATTTTGTGTTGGTATTATTATTAACTAAATAGTTCAGCATGCTAGGTTTCAAAACTCCTTCAGAAATACTATTGGATCTTGAAGCTGATGAGTGCAATTTCAGGGTTTTGTTTTTCTTACTGGCTTGCGTGTTTTTGTGTCCTTGTGAATGGAGAAAGTTTTCAGGTGAGGTAGACAATGTTCTTTTATTGTTGTTTTTTAATATAATTAGTTTGTCGTATTTTATGATTGCATTATTTCCCTTTTCTCTCTCTATTTTTAGTTGTTGTTGTAATTCTTTTCTTTTTTGTAAAATATATGCCGGGTAATCTTCTTTCATATAATATTGAGTGTCATTTAGTGCCCCTTTTTGTTTAAAAATTTTGATCTTCAGGCCAAGAGTTGTAAATGTTACTACTATTGGGCGAGGTCTGTCTC